ATCTCCCCATTTTTCTGAGGATAACGAGAGTCAAGGCAGCAAACACGGCATGTCCGAGTGATGCGAACGTGCCCTTCAGGTGATCTGAATAGCTTCCAGTTATCTTCTCAGTGTTGGAACCAAACAAAAACGGCGGCCTCACGATGAGGATCACTCCGGTGATGGCAAATGAGGTGAAGAGAACATCCCAAAGGCTGTATTTTTCCTTGAGAAATATGCAAGCAAATATAGACGTAAACACTGGACAGCTAAATGAGACCACCGTGGCATCGGCGAGGGACGTTGCCTGGAAAGCGTAGTATAAAAGGATCATGGCGGTAGAACCCAAGACTCCTCTGAGAATGAGGAAGATTCGTAGATCTTTTGGGCCTATAAACCCAGTTCTGGAAATTCAAATGAAGGAATGCATATTAAACGAAACTTGCTATTTGTTTTTAAACTATAATTTTTAATAAAGTAATATTTTAGAATTCTTAACTATCAAAAAATAGGGGGACAGCAAATTAAATATGATAATGTCCACAACTATTATATTCCTTTAAGAAATGGTTTCTAAGTATAGCTAATGACATTAAAGTGTTCACAATATAAGCAAAACTAATACAAGAGAACTACATAAACAGTATCATTTAGCAAATACAGTTATATTTCTCTTTTTTCTTATGTTAGATATAATTTGCTACATGTATAAATAGGGTGTCCCCCAAAATGTATACACACTCTTACAAAGGCAGTGTTTATTAAAGTACATTTCATTTTCAAAATTTAACAAAAATCAGCTGTTAAAGTATCAATACAGTTTTAGGGGGCACCCTGTGTATGCTTGCAAAAAAAGACAAAGGAAAATATACTGAAATGCTCATTGTGGTTAGACCTCATTCTAGTAATTTTCCTTCTTTATATTTACTTCCCCCAAATTTTCTGTTAAATATAAAAAAATATGAAAGCGTGTTACTTTGATAATAAATACAATTTCAAGATTTAGCTGCCCCATATAAGAAAACTTGGTCCTTTCATAAAACAGATTACATGTACAAAAATTACTATAATGAATAAAGGGGAATTTGCTATTTAAAAAAAAAAAAAGAAAACTTGGTCCTGGACGTTGTGGATTCTTAAGAGTTTTTCTATAAAAGCGGTACCAATACCACATGTTCTTTAAGTCATTGAATGTGAGACGTTTCACTATTCTCTTTAGGGAACTGAAAAAGAACCCGCAGCATTCAGTACGTATAATAATTGCCATCAAAGTTTTTCCAATTAAATATTTGCTAAACAGAGTCCTGTGTTAGTTCCTGGCTAGGTTCATCTTGCTGATCTGTGTTGGGGCTGGACATCTTTAGGGCAGCATGTAGGCCAGACATGGGAACCCTGGATCTCTGGAGTCAGAAATGAAAGCATGGTCACCTTTGGTCCATACTTTGAGAAGCTAGGAATCTTCCTCAATAGTGAAATTTGAAATGGGTCAAACTAAATTATCACCAAGGATTTCAGAAAATTTTTCTAGTGCCTTCCCCTGACAATACTTTTATTCCAAAATGGGGAAGATGAACAATATTGATCTTAGCAAATTGTAACTTTTTTCACCAAATCCTCAGTATATGGACTGAAACAATTCTGAGAGAATATGCACAGTATTCTAGATATAAGGAGTTTGGTGGTAAGCAGCTGAAGCTTTTAATTTGGGGTTTAAACATCTTTGCCAAAGAGAGAAAGAGCCAGGAAGCCACCAGGAATTCAAAGTACACAGGGGTTTATAGAGGTGATAATAGTGTGGGAGGGGCATACTTTTAACCTGGGGAGGGTGTGTGTGTGTGTGCACACACGGGGTGGGGGGTGGGGGGGCAGAATTCACATGAATGAAGAAGATGGGATGGGTGAGATCAATGCTACGTTTTTTACAAAACACTCTGATCTAAAATAAATTCCATTTGATTCTTCTAACCACAGGCAGGTAGAGGATAAATGTCATTCCCTTCAGTTTACAGATGAGGACACTGAATATGGAAAGCAGTTAAAAAGCCCCTCCTCAAGATTAGCTTTCCCCTTTCCCACAGCACCTTCACCTAAATATTACTATGGTAGCCTTCTGTCTGCCCTTGTAGCAGAGCAACCTATTCTACCTAAAGAAACCTCTGACACTGGGAGATGACACGACCACATCTTCTTGTTTACTTTTTCTTCCAAATACTAGATATGCCAAAACTAAGAAGGGAAGGTGGTACAGGATGAGAGGAATTATACTAGGAGAGTTTTGTTCTCAAAATGAGGGTGGAGAATAACTGAATCTCTTTCTCCCCTCTGCTGGGCATGCTGTGTGTGCTTACGAGCATCTTAATTAGGTGGGATCCTTGTGACTTTTCAGTAATCAGAGCCAAAGGGTGTACGGACTGGCAAATCTATGAGAGGGATTAACGCAGATACTATAAATAAATTTGGGCAGGTCAAAAGATTTACAACCGTTTCTTATTATCTACTTTGCAGTTAAGAAATACTTACTTTCTGTATATTAAGCAAGGGATAACGACTAACATTTGGAACACACATCGGAATGCACTAATTTCTACAGCATGGAGGTCTTGCACTTTTTTAACAAATAAAAAGGCCACTGAGAAAAGGAAGGCAGACAATAATGTGTAAAACAAGCCAAGTCCACGACAGGGTGCTTTCTTCTTGGCTTCTGAAAAAGATTAAATTCTGGTTAGTCCTTACTTCCAAGTGTATGCTTTATCATTTTCACTTAGAAACTGAGAAAAATGGGACAGTG